CCTTGACTTCTTAATATCTGATGTTTTTTGCTGTACAGTAATATTCTATTAATTCCATTTACCACTATTTGTTTAGCCATCCCCCAGTTGGTGGGCAGACAATTCCAATTGGTATTTAAACAATGGTACCCTCTATAAACTCCCAGATAAACAGGGCAAGTGGCCATCTTACATCGGGTTAAAGGCCTACAAGGAGTGGGAGCCAACCACTTCCAGAACCAATCAGTTCCACTCTGGAATAGGTTTCATTCAGCCTTAATGTGCCTCTCTGGCACTTCCACCTGGCTACTGTAGTTTAGGAGCAATCAGCCCTCTGAGATTTCTTCCTTGTAAGACACTGGGAGGATGACGAAGTAATAATGATAATAACTAACACGTTTATATAGCACTTTGAGATTTGCAAAGCACTTTACAAACATTAACTTTTCTGATCTTCACAACAACTCTGGGAGGTAGATATTATTGTTATTCTCATTTTACAGATGAAGAAACTGAGACAAACACAAGTTAAGTAACTTATAGCTAGTAAGTGTCTGAGCCTGGATTTGAACTCAGGTCTTCCTGACTCCACATGCAAATTCATCTATGCACTGTGCCACATCACTCTGTCTTGGACTACATTAAACTTACTAACTGGAAGCTGTTGGTCCTATGGTAGTCTACCCCATCTTTTCATAGCCGTGGGACCAGAGAGATTAGGTAACTTGCCAGTGTCACCTGGGGAATAAGCAACAGACAGGGTTTCAATTCATGTCCTCTGATTTCCAATCTAGTCATCTTTCCAATGTATTGCAGCAGAGGCTGTTCTGAGGTAAGAATAGTAATCACGGACAATATATATCCATTATCCTATCTGAGCCTCACAATGACCCCGTAAGATAGGTGTTATTATTATCCTCATTGAACAGATTAGAAGGTAGTGGGTTTCACCTTCCCCGGAAGTCTTTAAGGAAAGACTAGATGGCCACTTTGGGGGGATTTTGTAGAAGGGATTCCTTTTACTTAAGGTATAGAATAACAATATCTTGTGTTTCTATAGTACTTTGAAGTCTATGATAAACTTTATATAGGATCTTAGATTTAGAGGAAAAGGGATCTCTGTTGTAATTGTTGAGTCATTTTTCAGTTGTATTCAACTCTTTGTGACCCCATTTGGAGTTTTCTTGGCAGAGTTACTGGAGTGCTTTGCCATTTCCTTCTCCAGTTCATTTTACAGATGAAGAAGCTGAAGCAAATAGAGTTAAGTGACTTGCCCAGGGTCACACAGCTACTAAGTATCTGAGGTCAGATTTGAACTCAGGTCTTCCTGGTTCCAGGACTGGTGCTCTATCCACGACAGCCCCACCTAGATGCCATAAGGGACCTTAGGGGGCATCTAATCCAATCCTCTCCTTTTACAGAGGAGGAAACAGGCCCAGGGAGGGAAGGGAACTTTCCTACAATTCCTTTACTGCATAGGTAGTAAGGCTCAGAAGAAGGATTTGAATCAAGATCCTCTGATGTTCATGCCAGTATGCTCTCCACTGAACTTCACTGGCTCCCATGCAGCATCTCATTTGAACCTCCCAGCAACCCTTTGAGGTAGATTTACCAGGTTCTAGGCAAAGACCCTGCCTCAAAAACATGAAGTGACTTGTCAAATATCACACAGCTAGTAAGTGTCCAAGGCAGAATTTGAACCTTGAACTTTCGTATTCCTGATCTAGCACTCTATCCACTGTTCTCCTCTCTTGACTTTCTAACACTGGAAATTTCAGGCAGTTTGGGAGCAGGAGGAAGTCATTGCAGCCCTCAGATGGCACTACATAGACAGCTGAGTACCCCAACTGGGGGTGAGCATGGGCCTGACTAATGATCCCTCCAAACAACCACATCAACAAAGACATCAAGGAAAACACTGCCTGAGCTGCACATTAAGCATCATCCTAGACCAAATGAGCCCCCAGGCTTTGTTAATAAAATTAATGATTTATCAGCTGAGGTAGCACGCCTGCCTCATCAACATGCAAATGACAGGAAGCTATCCACCCATTCCAAATCCATGTGGAAATACAAAAAACAATTCAAAATGGGAATAATTTAGCTGCTCACTTGGAGAAAGGTTAGTTGTTCTCTATTTTTTCCAGAAATGTGGCAATGATATTTTAAATAATTGTGGATATAGTCGTCTCAGACACTTTTCTATCATGTCTGCCCCTAAGTACAAATTCCTTTTTTTAAAAAGTGAAACTTTTCCAGTAGATATCTGATTCTGACCTGTTCCATAACTGTCCCCATCTACCTCCCACCCTCAAAGTATGGTGTAAGCCATTAGTATAAACAGAGGCTGAGTGTCTTTTTTTTCCATTTATTACTTGGATTCATAGAGTTTCAAGAGTTGGAAGGGATTTTGGACACCATTTAACTCCAATTCCCATATTTTGCAGAGGGGGTAATTTAGGCCCAGAGAGGAGAAAGAACATGCTTGAGGCCAGAGATTGAGTCACCAGCAGAATTGAGGATAGAACCCAGGTCGCCCGATTTCAAATTGTAGAATATTAGAATTCATAGCTTTATGGAAACTTTATGCAGTCTAAACTCATAAATTCAGTTCATTTCAACAAGGATTTTTTTTTCCTTAGGTGTCCCCATGTGCTTAAGATACAAAGACAAAGGAATTTTGGAGACCAGTGGTTTTTAACCTGGGGTCCATGACCTTGTTTTTGCTTTATTATTATATTATTATTTATTATATAGTTATCTTAATAACTATGTCTCAATGTATTTGGCTTTCTTTGTAACAATATTATTTTATTTTATGAATTTTTTAAAAATTCATATTTTAAAAAGGTCCTCCCTTCTTATTTCACCAAGAGAGAAAAACGGAGAAGAACAGAGGCGGGGAACCTACATCCTTGAGGCCACATGTGGCCTTCTAGATCCTTAAGTGCAGCCTGTTCTGTAAAATTTGGAATCAGTCAAAAGGCTGCACTTAAAGATCTACAAGGCCACACATGGCCTCAAGGCCATAGATTCTCTACCCCTTGTCTAGAGTTAAGGAAAATGCTTGCGATCACAGAGTAATACAGTGGAAGGGGTTGGGTTCAAACCTAGGTCTCCTGATATGTAATGATAGGACCATCAATCCAGTGATCTTAGACACCAGCTAGCCCAATTCCCTCATTTTATAAAGGAGGAAACTGAAGCCCAGGGAAGTATAACGACTTTCTCAAAGTGTCACAGACAGTAGGGTCAGAGCTGGGGTTCAGACCTAAGTATTTGGTTCCTCTGTCTACTGCAGGCCCAGCAGAAGGTTCTTTATGTGCCTAATGTTCCTTATCAAATTAAGGCTCAGGCTGCAGGAGTTAGCTGCTGAGAACAGGCTCATTAGTTAAAAGGTAATGTTGGTAGGAAAAAAGGCTGATTCTAGAATGGGATAAAAATCACATAGAAAGATCCTAACATTGAAGGGCTTCCTTCTTTACCAAAGTACCATCTTTTTTCATGATTCTTTTCACATCATCCCATAGGAAAAGAATTGTGAGAATTAACCTGATCTTTTCACACATCTATCCCAGCATACTATACAGGTTTGAGAAAGATATAGACAGAGAGAGAAAAATGGGAAGGGGAAGACAGAAAGATGGAGAAAACAGTGACAGAGGTAAGAAAGAGAGAAGGAGGAAGACAAAGACAGAAGAGACACAAAGGCAGAGACACAGAGAGAAGTGGGGAGACAGAGAGACAGAAACAGAGACACACAGAGAGAGAGACAGGAAGGGAGACAGCTAGAAACAGAGCCAAGCAGAGACAGAGAGACAGTGACAGACAGGAGAGAGAGACAGACAGACAGACATACAGACAGAGACAGAGAGACACAGACAGAGAGACACAGACACAGACACAGACACAGACAGAATATACATGTGATATCTGTCCAGTTCAGAGAGGAAAACTAAAGCCTCCTCATTTTCTCCATTCAGTAAATTCTTTAGGTCAATGGGATCTATGTTGGAAAAATCATCCAAATTGAGTCAATTCAAATTAATATGTTATTCCTATCTCTGCCCCCTGAACTTCTGGGAAAACGGGGGGGGGGGAGGGAAGAACTGTTGAGTGCAGATGTGGCCTAGATTTTCATTGGACCTTATAACTCTTCACGAGGACTTTTTAACTTCTGTTTTTCATGAATACACAGACGATAATGGAAGAAGCCTTTCTTATTACAGAAAGGTGTGGGGCTTTCCTCATCAGAAAATTTCTGCATTTAACATTAGAGCAAGTATAAATTGACCTTTGAAGGTCATGAAGAAAACCTTCCCTCTCAATCAAGAGTGTACTGGGTATACTTGCCACTGAGGCCTACTGGGAGTCGACTCAAGCCAGCAAGAAACAGGGAGCTTCCACAAGCCTGCTGCTCAGTGGGCAACTGGAAGCAAGGGGTTTAGGGAGGGAGTTTGGGAGCATGGTGTTTTTCACATTTTAAACAAGTAGGTGAGGGGAAACTCTAAGGCAAATACAGATCAAAACACGATTTTGACCCTCAGAAAAATTCACTAGGCTTTTTTCACTTTGTAATTTCATAAATGTATTTCCTGATTTCTTTGTATTCCTCAAAATTCAAAAGCAAATGAGATTGAATGGACAAAGGATCCTGATTGAGGACAGGAAGGAGGGAAATTAATTAATATAAATGTAAGCAGTCACTAAGCAATTTTAACTGTATTGATGTACAGTGTTTCTAATAAAACAAAATTATAGTACAACATGTGAGAGAATTGTATAACTCACATAAATTCATGATTCTCCATAGGCCTCAAAGCATTTGAAATTTTAAAAAGAAACTTCTTCATTGTCCCTGTGATGGCAGCACTGCCTCCTTTTTCTGGAACCTTCTCCCTGGTGGCCAGCCTCCTGGTTGGATGGCCTTGCTTGATGTCATAACAGCCCATGGCTTTGTGACCACTGAGCAGTTACATAGTAGAATGGAGGGGCTTGCCATAGTAACTCTTGGCAAAGCCAACAACTGCCAGGCTTCCACTGAGCTGAAGACCATTCAGTGGAGCCATGGCTACTTGTGTCATTTATTTCCTGTTATTTCTGCTGCTTTTCTTTATAAGAAGTGAATCCTTCTCAAAAAGAGGTAGGTACATGGAATTGAAGTTCCAGATGTCTGTAGAGTAACTAGAGAGAGGGAGAAATTGGGGGAGAGGGGTAACGAACCCAGGGTGCTGGGCGGGGCAAGAGTTCTTATTTTTAAAAACATTTTAAATTTATTTTAACTTTCAGTTCCAAATTCTTTTCCTCCCTCCACCCTTCCCCCACCCATTGAGAAGGTAAAAAATACTATACCCATTATACATATGAAATCATACAAAACATAATTTGGTATTAGCAATGTTAAAAAAAAAGAAAAAAGGCAAGAAAAATAAAGAATGTGAAAAAATATGCCTAAATTTGTACTCGGTCCTTTGGTTCTAGCATGTTTCATCATGAGTCCTTTGAAACTCTCCTGGATCATTGTATTGATCAGAATAGCTAAGTCTTTCACAGTTGATTATTATAAAAATGCTGCTGTTACTGTGTAAATTCTTCTCCTAGTTCTGCCTGCTTCACTCTACATCAGTTCATATAAGTCTTCTTAAGTTTTTCTGCTACTATCCTCTCTTCATTATTTCTTATAGCATAACAGTATTCCATCACAATCGTATACCACAACTTGTTCAGCCATTCCCCAAATGATGGGCATCCCCTCAATTTCCAATTCTTTTCCACCACAAAAAGAGCTGAGATAAATATTTTTGCACAAATAAGTCCTTTCCCCTTTCCTCTGATCTTCTTGGGGGTAGCAGAATTGCAGGGTCAAAGAATATGTAAGGTTTTATAGCCCTTTGAACAGGGTGATAAGTTCTTAGAGGCAACCATTAAAAAAATTGTGAAGATCTGGGAAGCAGATAGTTTGGGGGTATAAACTGGGCCAACAAGATTTCTAACCCTTGAGAGAACCATTAAATAATGTCCCATCTGAATGGAAGGGCCCAAAATCCATTACCAGATTTAAGTGGTATTAAAGAAAATGCAAGCATTCAGAACCATCTGACCTTGGACCCTGCCTTTCCCAGTTCTGGGCATCAGTTACCTCCACTGTAAAATAAAGGGATTGCTCTGTTCAGTGTGTTACAATTTCAGGAACAAGAGCTCAGGGACCATAAGTCTAAATAAGTCAAGGGACTTGATTGTGGGATCAGTGTTGTAATTTAACTTCCACTCTTAAAATACAATAATAATAGCTAGCACATTTACATATCATTTTAAGATTTGTAAAAGCACTTTACAAATATTAGCTCTTTCATCCTCACAACAACCTTGAGAGGTAGGTACAATTTTATTATCCCCATTTTAGAGATGAGGAAACTGAAGCAAATAGGTTAAATGACTTGCCCAGGGTCACACAGCTAAGTAAATGTCTGAGGTGGAATTTGAACTCAGATCTTGACTCCAGATCTGTAGTCTATCCATTGCTGCTACCACTTAGCTGCAACCTTGTCAGGCAGGTCTTACAATTTCCATTTTGCAGAAGAGGAAACCAAGTCTTAGAGAAGTGACTTGATTTGCCCAGGATCACATAGCTAGGAAGTGTCTGATGCATTCAAACACAGTTTTCTCTGAGTCTAGCTCCAGCCATGAAATCACTCTACTATGCAAACTCTAAGAACAACTGTAACTCAACATGTTGTCCATTACTGCATTCCTTTGACAGAAACTGATTTTCCTGACCAAAACAAAATCAAAGTTCATCATCTCAGGAGAGGTGTCCTAAATGGTATCACATATATTCTCATGTTGGCTACCATGATCCTGATTTCCTGTTCCTGCTTCCTCTACTGGAGAATAAGAAGAACCAGATTCAGCAAGAAAAGGTGCAAGTTTTGTATTACATATAGGCTGCTCACTTTGCCAAATTGCTTGCTTTCGTGAGGGGTAGCTCAGTACTCAAAAGGGATGAGAAACCTCTTAGAATGGGCATCTTGGCTTCCAGAGCCACAGTAATTCTTAGCTTTCTGTGGCCACTTTTGCATGCCAATTGACCCTGCAGCACCCAGTGAGATCAACAACTAACCAAGGTCTGGTATAGGAGGAGGTGGGGAAGCACATAAATGTAGAGATGCACCTGTTTGTCTCTGAATTCAGAAGTCAGTCAGAAAGGCCAATCGGGTTTTCTGTCCCTGAGTTGGTCATTTGTCCTGATTAGGCACATACTATGGACTTGATTGTAGGTGCTCAGTCTAGATTTTGATCATAAGGAAGAAGAGTAGGTCACATATAGGTATTGCTTTAGGTTTACAGAACACTTTCCATACATTCTCTGTGACCATTAAATGATGTCCTCAGAGCAAAGTGGAGTGTGCAAATGCTTAGTGACATTCAGGTGGCATCAGAGTGGGGCTTTAAGGAAGAGAGGAGATTGAACAAAAGGTGGCATGGAGTCCAGTGAAGGTCAGAGCAAAGGCATGGAGGTGGGAGATGACCAGAAGAAAATCAGGGACAGAAAGTAATTCCATTTAGCTGGGAGCCCCAAACCAAACCTTATTTTTCTCACATATAAAGTGAAGACAAAGCAACTTGTACGAGCGTGTTTTGGCTGGTTTTTTTTTGGTTTTTTTTGGGTTTTTTTGGTTTTTTGAATTTCTAATGCCTAGCACAGTGCTTGGCACTTGGCAAATACTTAATAAATTCTTGTCGACACAGTGGCTGTTGAGAGAAAAGTACTTTGCTAAGTGCTATGTCTCCTGCAGCACCTGAGTGAGGTGACTTCAAAGATCTCTCCAAGTTTAGATAAACCTAAGCATTTATCTGATATGTAGCTTTTTTGGTCAGCTCTCAGGGTAAGTTGCAATAAAATGTCCTTAAGGAATAAAGCTAATGAAATGGTTTTAACAGGGAAAAGTTCAAGGAAATGAAAAATTACTGCACAAAAGGATCTAAAATGTGTATCTGTCATTTGGGAGAACTCAATGGCATCTCACTGCACTTAATTTTATTAATAGAGAAGAACAGACTAATATCAATAGCCAATATTTTTCTAGCGCCATAAGGTTTTCTTGTTTTGTTGATTAGTTGTATCTAATACTTTGTGACCCCATTTGGGGTTTTCTTGGCAGATACTGGATTGGTTTGCCATTTCTTTCTCCAGCTCATTTTATAGATGAGGAAACTGAGGCAAACAGGGTGAAGTGACTTGCCCAGAGTCACACAGCTAGTAAGTGTCTGAGGTCTGATTTGAACTCAGGTCCTCCTGACTCTGAGCCCGACACTCTATCCATCATGCCACCCAGTTGTTCTGCCTTAAGGTTTGCAAAATACTTTACATTCATGATCTCCTTTAAGCCTTAACAACCTTAGGAGGTAGGTAGGTACTACATTATTATAAATCAGCTTGAGCGCCACCCCCCAGCTCCCAGAAAGGCCTAAAACCTGGATTGGCCAATCAGGAGAAAGACAGTTTTGGACCACTCTGAGCTTAACCTACCACAATGCTTTGCATCTTCTCTGAGTGAACCCCAAATGCCCCTTTTGTGTCAGCAACTCCAAGGCCAGATGACGCTAACCGGGAACATTCTTCTGTTTATGACTGATAAGGACCAGGTGCCTTGAACTGGACACTGTCTTGAATAATGGCATTTCTCTTATCTTGTTATTTTTATGGACACTGTTATGTTATATCCTGTTATGACATTCATGTATTATGCCCATGTTTATGGCTGACACATATGGAGACTATAATTTTGGCTGACATAGGCATCCTGAGTGAGGAGGGGAGGAGGGGATTGCTCTGAGGATATAAAGTCTTCTTCAACTGTCCTTTCTTTGAGCTCATTTTCTAATGTCTCCTGTGTATTGACCCATAAATGTCGCCCATTTCGAGAGAAATAAACAAATACGGGTAGCCTCATTTTGTCTTTCTTAGAACAAACTCTGTAAGGTTGACAATATGTTCCATTTTATAAATGAGGATAGTGAGAATCGGAGAGGCGAGATGTCTTGCCCAGGGTCACCCAGCTAATTGGGGTCAAAGGGAATTTGAATTCTGACTTCAAGCTGCACTCTTCCTGTTCATACTGCCTTCTAAGCTACTACTACTCCATTTAATTTTTCAACAATCCCAATTTTTGGTCTTATGAAAAAGGCAGCAATATTCTTTGTGTTAGCCATTGCTCTGCTTCTGTCTTCTACCCCTCAAAGCCAGATCCCAAATTACTTCTGTCTTTACAGAGCCAAAAAGAATACATTACAATCGTTATCCGTCCACAGTTACCAAGGATCCGTAAGAAAATGATTCTTTCAGTTCTTCAAGGATCACATCAAGTCTGATACTGCTGTCATCCTCCTGCTTCACTCTGAGTATCTAACAACAATGAATCCATCCATCCTCCTCTCATGTCAACTTCAGGCAACCAAATTCCATCCTGATGTTCCAAAATTCCACCTTACAGTCTGAAGAAATATCCCACAACTGTAGGTGCCATCTCATCAATACTCCTAGCGGCCACAAGCAAAGATCTTGCTGCAATTTACTCCTTGAGAACACCTTATGGATGCCCTAGTTGTTTTGCTGAATTAATCAATCCAAGAGGTTCCCTGGAAGAGCAGTGGAAGCAGAAGAGATTAGTGACTCCGAGATTACCATCTGAACAGTGATCACCTGTTGACTTCAAACTCAGAGTCTTCTAGTTCTGACTAATAAAAGATCCAACATCATAAAACAGCATAACATGATAAAAGTACACATTACAATAATTGTGTTGTCTTTTTTTTGAAATGGTTTTAATTTTTAAGGTTTTATTGAGCGAGGGAACAAATGAATGAAAGAAAAAAACATTTATTAGTCTCTTTCTATGTGACAAACACTATGTTAAGTGTTCTCAGTACAAATAGACAAGCAAGATAGTTCCTTATCTCAGGGGGCTCATGTTCTAATGGGGAAGACAACATATGAGAGGTTTCAGCTCATGGTCATTAGGGTACAGCAGCAAAGAAGATGGAAATGCACCTTCTGTAGTGTCATTTCCGTTGTTTCTGACATAAAGCCACATGACAGTGCCAAAGACTTTAGACTCAAGAAGACTCTTTTCTGAATCTTCAGTAATTATAGTCGCCACAGAGATGGGAGTGGTAGCGTGTGCAGAAGCAGTTGGGAGGTCACATCTCCACAAAGGTTGCTCCCTTGAAGGATGGCTTAGCTGTCTGGGCTGCAAGGGCTGCTGGTCTGGGGGCACTGCTATTCCCAAGGCTCTTGGGCTTATCTGTTGGTAGCACCTGCTGAGGGTGGTGGCAGGGATGGTAGGCCCCTCTTCCACAGAGGATGCTTCTTTGAAAAATGGTTGCTGGGAGGAGAGGATAGAAGTAAGGTGTGTGTAGTGGGAGGTTGGGGGGGGGGCGAGGAGAGCACCGCTATTACACATTACATATAATGACACAGCAGTCATTTAAAATATGTCCCTCCCCAATCCCAGACCCACCCCATCCCTGTGAGCCTTCCCTTGTAATTAAAATAATTAAGCAAAATCAATTCTGTACCTGTATGATACTGTATACGGTGTTCCATATCCACTTAGTCTCCCACTTCCTCTCCAAGGAAAAGGAGGTCCTTTTCCTTATTTATTTTAACAAGCATTTGAAAGTGCTTAATACCTGCCAAGCACTGTACTGAGCACAAGGGGTATAAAGAAATGCAAAAAACAAATGTTTTGCCTCCCAGGTCAAGGATAGGTCTCACAATTAGGGTTATACATTTAAAAGCTAGAAGTCCAATTTTATAGATAGATTTGATTTTATAGATATGTATATATATATATATACATATATATATACATATATACATATATATATACATATATATATACATATATATATACATATATATATACATATATACATATATATATACATATATATATACATATATATATACATATATACATATATATATACATATATACATATATGTAATATATATATGTATATATATATATATATATATATATATATACATATATATATATATATATGGAAAGTGAGGCCCAGAGAGTTTAAGTAACTTGCCCAAGGTGCCACAGGTTGAAGTGGCAGAGCCAGCATAAGAACCTAGGTATCCCAGGTTCTTGATTCCAGATGCAATACTGCAGCAGGCTTCGACTTTCTTTTATTGGGTGTTTTTGGTTTTGTTTACCCAATTTACATGTAATCCTTTTCATGGCCAGTCCCCTAAGTTACTCTCACATTTGAGGTGTAGGGTCCCCAGACGGGTGGTGACTGTTACTACTCAGAATTTGAGGGATAATCCTGAGGGGCTATACGGCGAGAGCTATCTCTCATCCGTTCCACTGCCGTGCTCCTTGTGAGCAATTAGCAACTGGACTCAGCTTTTAGAGCAGGCATTTACTCAGATAGTACAAAACTTTCCCCCTCAAAACTCATAAATACACATGACTTTGATGAGGAGAGTGTGCTCCAACGTAAAATATAATAGTAGTGAGGTATGTGTTATTGAAACACATGTGGCAGATGTAACACAGCTCCTGCCCTGGAAATCCTCTGTCCTTTTGTAGAGTTGTAAAGTTTCCCTTAGGTGTAGCTCTCTGCTGGACTCTGAGGGTCAGAGTCTTTCTAGAGTCTGTAGCTGGCATTTCTTTCTACTATGAGGAGTCATGTTTCCTAATGCTACTTTGCTTAGGTGACTAACATTCCTTGTTTGTTTTCCCTCAGTGCTATTTTTCTCTTTGCTCCTGATGTGGGTTCTTCCATTGCCATCAGCTCCTACAGCCCTGGTGGACCCTACTACTGCTGCCAATAGGACCCCCGATGAGCCCTCTGGATCCCCCTAACTCCCAAGGTTGCCTGGACACTTCCATCTTATGATTCTTGTTTTCCTAAAATCAGAAAAGAAAAAAAAATATCAAGAAATAGAGATAGCCTCGGTGGCTGAATGGGAGACAACTCATCATAGCCACAAAGGAAGAGTGGTATAGAGGTGGGTCATCCCTTTTGTGTATCCATTATGTTATAGCTCAGCAATCCCTGCATCATAATTTCTTCTGGCTCTTTGTTGTCACTTGTTGCAAACTCCTGAGTCATCAGAAATGGATGTAGGCTCACCCCAAACTTCAACATCCTCACTTGGAGTGGAGCTAAGTGGTGAATATCTGTACATGCTCCAAGGACTGGCTCCCATAGGCAAGTCCAAGTCCATCCCCAACACATAAGCATCATGTTATATCATTTTTCCTGGCTCTGCCTACTTCCTTACTTTCCTTAAATTCCTCATAGTCATCATTTCTTTCAATGCAATAACACAGCATTACAACCACATACCACAGTTTATGAAGCCATTCCCCAATTGGTGGCCTCCTACTTTGTTTCCAGCTCATTGCAACCCTTGTGCTATTTTTTTAAATCTAAAATACGTCTGATCATTAAGACAATCTAGCTTCAGATAACTTGATCTTTGAAGAAAGCTGTTGGCCCAATGGGTGTTAAATACATGGCTCCTCTCAGAGCTCTTGAATTTCAAAGATCAAAAGAGTTGTTTTGAAAACGAACTCTGCTTGCTTATCACGTGGATGAGAATTACATTCCATGCCTTTCTCCATGAAATAAAAAGGTTTGAGACATGGAATATCCCTGAAATGAACTTTGTCGGATGGTGCCTACAGACTTGAGTGATCAAGTACTTGTTAGGTCTGCCTCTCTTTTCAAGAACTTTCAAAAATAAGCTGCAATGGAATAAATTGTAAGTTTGGCTGAGCTAGAACAAGCTGACTACCTACCTTCACAAATAAATTTTTGATCAAGGCTTGCTGGTGATGGAATGCTATGTTTCCCCAGGGTTACTGAATGAAGTCAAACCCAAGTTCTAGTTCAGAGACTTAGGGTGGGAAGGGACCTCAGAGAACCACGTAGTCCAACCTCTTCGTTTTATGGAGGAGGAATCTGAGTCTAGACAGGTACAAATGACTTGTGCATGCTCCCACAGTAAGCCATATAACTGACTTGAATCCAAATCCTCTGAGTCCAACCTCACTTTCTCTTCCAATGTGCTCTGGCACAGTGATGTCATTTTGGGGCTCTTCGAGAATGAAGGACAACACCCAACCAACTCTAGGAATAATAGAATGTCCGAGCTGTAAGGGCATCGGCTCCCCCCTCCTCATTTTACAGAGGGGAAAATTGAGGCCCAGAGAATTTAAGTAACTTCTCCAAGGTCACACAGGCAGCAGTAAATGGCAGGGCTGAGACTGTGAACTCACATCTCTCTGATCTCAACTCTGCTGTGGAGAGTTCAATCATCAGTTCAATCAGAGGAGCTGGTCCTATGCATACAGGGACATTCTGATGCTAATATGGTATAGCCTAATGTAGCATATAGATCTCTGGGATGGGGGTCAAAATATAATTAATTTAAAGAAGCATGTATTCAGTGCCTTCTTTGGAATATGTATTATGCTGGCCACTAGAGATAAAAAGAGAAGCATGAAGCTGTCCTTGTCCCAAGGAGTTCACGCTTTTAGGGAAGGCAGCACAATCTGATGAGTCCAGAGCTAAGGATTATACAAAGTAACACTCACTCACATTCATACAGGGCTTTATCTTATTTGCTCCTCCTCATTCTGTGGTTTAGGTGATACTGTAAGTCCTGTTTTGCAGATAAGAAAACTGAGGCTGAGTGAGGTTGGCTGGATCCGGAATCAGGAGACTTGGGTTCAATTCCCAAGAGTGCTACTGCTGTGTGACCTTGGCAAGCATATCATACCTCTGGGCCTCCCTTTTCCTTATCTGTAAAAATAGACTAGTTGGCTTTGGTCTCTAAATATTCGATTCCTATGACTTGCTCAAGTGGTAAGCACCTGAGGCAGCATTTAAACCCAGATCTTCCTAAATATAAGTCCAACTGGTGCTCAATCCACTAGGCAACACTGCTTTTCAGGGCAGCTTGAGGAAGGGAGAAGGTTCTAGCAACTGGAAAAATCCAAGAAAGCTTCATGAAGGGAAAATAACTCTGACATTCTGAGCTCATGGCCTGACACAGACCAGTGTGCCCTGTAACACTGAAAGAAAAATGAAGGACCAGGGTTTGAGTGCGAACTCCACCCACCTTTGAAATTTACATCTCCGAGCCTCTATTTTCCCATCTCTAAAAAGAAAACGATGATAACTAACACTTGCACCACCTATCTCACTATGATTCATTTCATTAAAAATTGATCTGGTCAGTCCACATAGATGGTGCCAAAGAATCGACCAGCTTTTGTATTTAGCAAGCTGACACAATGGCACTCATGAAAGATGTGATTATTAATATTTGATATAAAAATGACTAACAAAGGGCCAATGAGTCACAATGATAATGAGAGCTCTGAATAATCTTCGTGCGTGAATGTGTGTAAGTTCTTCAGAGAGCTGTACTCCACAGCTACTCCTTAATTATAGAGTAGGACACAACCTTCTGAATCCATTCACTATGCAAAATTCTAAGTGTCTTAACGGGGGCTTCAAACCTAAGAGCTGTACAGAATATGCAATCAAAATCAGCACTGTGAGTCAGCAAAGAACTTCAGCAAGAGAAATCAGATTTGATCAGTCAAAGCATCCACAGGAAAGGCCTTAAGGACAAAAGCTCCAACTGGGTTTGGTGCCATTTGAAGGTAAGGAAGATGACCAAATGCTCTGCATTAAATCAGCCACATCTGGAACTCAACTTCTGGTCCTTCACTGCAGCATTG